GAGCATTCAGGAAAATGATTATACAAAACAAACACTATTTACAACTTTCCTCTTAACATCAGAGTCCAGCAGCCTTCTCTGGTCTGGTGCTGCGAGGGAAAATTAGTGAAAGTGTCATTGACAATTGATGCAGTCAAAACGCCACTTTTCCCCCCGCGCTGGACAGGCTAACTACTAGTTGCATATTGTATCCTAGGGGGTTTCAAGTCAGATTAACCTTATGTTTACAAGGAAGACGAGAATGACTGTAAAGTCCTTTAAGGTAGTGTGCGTAATTCAACGCCTGCCAATTTCTGATAATCAAGCATTGCATACATATTTTTCGACAGTGTATTATTGCCTTGACATCTTCTTGTAAATCCATATTAATTTATTATTATGCGAAGTAAAATCCCAATCATTCATTCCCAGCAAGATCCTGCTCCGCGTTTTGATTCCAATTAAGATATTTATAAAAATATCAATACAAATAAAAAAAAGTACCTCTGGTTAGTTATTAACACGTTTTCTTTAGGAGACCCAAACCAAACCAAGCAACAACACTCACATTTTGTCATCTTGGATTCTGTCAAACAATAAATTGTTTTTCCAAAAAAAAAAAAAAAACAATTTGCGTCTGTCCTCCCAAAAAAAAAAACCAATAGGTTAAATAATTAATGACGTACGCGTCGATCAAATCACAAACTTTTTTTTTTGTTACCGATTCTAAAACAAAAAGAAAAAGAAATCAATCAAACGCAATTGCCGAGGAAAATGACTAAGTGTTTATCATGAGTGGTGGTGGTGGTCGCCACTCATCATCACTCTAGTTAATATTAATAAAGGGAATTAATCAATTTTATTAGAAATTTAAAGGTTTTTTGATGTGAAGTTTATTTTTCTTTTGAGTGTTGTATCCTTTTTTAAATTTATAATAAACATAAAATCCATCCTTCTCACTAATAAAAAAAAAACTCTTGATTACACATTTAAAATCATGCAAAAAAATGAAATATGCGACCCAATCTACATTGCAATAATTTTAGCAATTCAATATTATTGTAATAATAATGTTGTTGTTAATATACTACTATAAACATACCCTTATTAAAGAATTTGTTACGCGACCATCAAATTAGTTGTTATTAAATTATTATTAGTATCCTTTGTATATATATATTACTTTATAAAGAAATAATTGAGTATTTATTTGTAACCAATTCTCTAAGCACAAATACATTTATATCTGTTGTACGAGAAATTCGCTCAACATCTAATACTAAATACTAAACTCGATAAGTAGTCATTATCAAGTACTTTAAACAATTGTTAATATTATAATAAATTCATAGCATTAATATTCGTGGCCGTAGCAGTAATTCACAACAAATTCACAAATCATACCCATTAGCATATCATTCAAGTAGAATATTAAATGTTGACATGTTTATATTACATTAAGTAATGACGTATTAAATTATTTTATAATTACTAATATGATTATTATTAAATAATAAATTATAGGTAGTTAAAAGAGAAAGGTTAAAAAAATTTGAAAAATTTGAGAATTGCTGATGGGTTTATATCCTTTTATTTCTTAAATATAAAATAAACAAATTTATAGAAAATCAATTTCAAATAAATTCATAAATATGAAGTTTATAACTTTCAAAGTAATTAGTAAAAATGAGGCAATTCAGAAGTTAGCTACTTGTATTGCATGTAATTTTAAAATAATATCCCATTTTGCAACTACCAAGAAGCAATTGAACCTCGGGTTTTGTTTAACATACAATCAAGTAATTAATTCAGAATTAGTGTTAGAAGAGAGGTGCTTCAAGCGTTTGAAAAAAAAAAAAAAAGTACAGAGAAGCATGAAATTCGAGTATCTTTTTTGGAAAAAAAACAAATTTTCATTTTTGTATTTTGTTAAAAGAAAATTTGTTTATTTGACTAAGATATATAAAGTAATACATGATTGTTAACATATATAAAAAAAATTTAAAAGCAAGATAAAAAAAAATTACTAGAGTAGATATTTTTATAACATTTAAACACAAGAAGGAATTATTAAGCCGTCTGAGGGCGTCGATTTTCCCTGGTAGTTAAAGAGCCATTGACTGCCGGTGTGCCGTTTGATTTACATAGTTTGATACAACAAGAGATTACAAATAATACCACAATAACTGCTACCACTATTATTATTATTGTAGTAGTAAGACTTAATCCGCCTATTCCGCCTTTGGAACATTTGTATCCAGGTTGACAGGATGTTCCATCTGGACAGCATCCACCTTCACCATCTGCACAACAGAAATATCCATTCACACAACAATTCCCTATACTGTCTGAACATAAATGATATCCAGAGTCGCAAGTATAACTAGTTAATTGATTATTGAAACCGAGAGTCATATTGTATCGGATTACATCTTCAGCATTAACAGAAGGAGTTATAATTCCAAAAGATATGACAGCAAGAACAAGAATCACGGTAAAAATTTTCATGACTTTAGAACTGGTTGATGTTTGAAAATAATGTTTTTTTGTCAATATTCAACGAAAATAAAATGTGATGTTTTTTTATAAAGTAAATTTCAACTGAAATTTTTTAGAAAGAGGAGATCTTTAAACCAGACCTTTTATAAAGATTTAAACGGAATTCATTTCCTAATTGAATGTTCTATTTATGAATCTTAATACTAAATAAATTCTTATTGAGAAGAAAGAAAGGAAAATAAAAGTATGTACAATGTCTCGAGAAAAAAAAAAGGCGGCGACAAAAAATTGCATATCACACAACATTGTTTTGTTACTATATTTAACTATATCATTTAATATTATTAAAATGAAAAGTTGGCGTGTAAATTTTGCTTATTATTTCCTTATTATTAAAATTTCTATCTATCCATAATAGAATAATCGTCTTTTGTTTGTATGTTTTTTTATTTTATTCATTCGCTATATAAAGTCGTTGAAACACGTAGTGGACATCCTTATCAATCAGATTTTTTTTTTGAATGCCTTTTTTTGAAAATCTAACTTGAACCTGTTGTTAAATATCAGCTTCTTTTTTCTTCTCTGCTGAGCTCATAAGAGGTAAGAGTATATGAGCAGTTAGTAAAAAACACTGTTTTTCAAATCTAATTTTTTTGGGAAAGAAATTTTTTGTTTTCGTTAGGTGAACTTCCAAAACCAATCTACATGATTATTTAAAGAAAATTTTTTTTTCAAAAATACTTTTTCCACATGATGAACTGCTTATCTCGCAAATAATAGTCTTTCCTCAAAGCCATTGGTTTGATATTTCAGTATTTGATTGGTTAGTAAAGATCATTGATACTTTTAATTAAAAATTTTTGTTTGTCTGTTTTTTTTTTTTTGTGGTAGCGAAACCTTGCATGTGTGAAAAAAAATTGTTTTACGCCAGAGCATCTTTATAACTTATTTTATTTATAGTTTACACACATTTAATATTTTTATAATAATGTTTATGATCATAAATAATATACAGAACCTATATTGCAAATAAGAATTAATTTTTAGAATTGAACGCCGTTTTACAGTAGTAGACATGGATGGATATATTAAAAAGCTAAAACATCAAATTTATTGGTAAATTGGATTCCTCCAAATAGAAAACAATTTCCTATTCAAAATTCTTTTCACTGACTGGGTCTGGGACACTTTACCGACACCCACTTTACCGACAGGACACTTTACTGACATCCACTTTACCGACAAGACACTTTACCGACAGGACACTTTACCGACAAGACACTTTACCGACAATTAAAGTAAAGTCGAACTTGACGTAGAAATGGTCTTGCGAGGAACACCAAGACCCCCACAGAAACTACAAGATCGTAATCGTGAAATACGGATTCAAACAATATTAAATGACCGTAACATTAGATCAACTATAAAGTTTCTTCGGGGCATTGCCCATAATATTTTATTTTAAAAATTTTTTTTTTGTGTATAAAAATAATAATAATTAATGTGTCACAATAAAAGTTATTATTTAATTAACGTTAATTAACGTTAAAGTTAAGTTTGGATGGAAGGTCTGTGTTCAGTTCATTATGAAAAAACTTGTCCATCTTGACCCAAGAAATACAAATAAGGAAATTATTTGCATAAAAAACTACTAACCTTTCTTATATATATGTAAAAAAAATAAAAAAAATAAAATAAAAAAAATTATATCTTTATCTTTAGTTTTACAAATATACTCTAATTTTTAATTGAATTTAATTGGATAGAAGTAAGAGTGATTATTATTGGTATATATATTTAAAAAGGAAAAAAAATAAGAATATCGTTATTTATGATTACATATTTTACATATTTATATATATATAAACGTTATTTATTATTTATTTCTAAAAAGCAATTGAAAAAAATAAGCTCATAATTGAGAACGCAATATGAGCTTTTGCTTTTTGTGTTAACAAACACACATACCGTGCTATGCGAAAATAAAATTCAATTAAGTTGGATTTTGCGTCTTCTTCGTCGCAAAGAGCAAAAAAAAATGACATCACTCGGGTCAAGACAATAATAGTCTATTTTATTAAATTCGAACCATATAAATAGGATAGCCGTCCAAACTTTTTTTTTGTTATTTTTTTCGTAGAGAAATTCCTCTCGGGCCATTTCAGCACCCTTCTACATTCGGCCACATGAAATAATTGTTCGTTATTATTATACAACGTTATTACAGGAGAGATACTGGGGTGTCTCACATCATATGATTTACAAACATAGTTGATCACATATATAAATTTTCATTGATAAGGATTTTTTAGGGGTTTTGCGGATTTATTATTATTTTTTTGGTGCCACAAAAAAAAATTTTAAATTTATTATACAAATTGGCAAACTTCGCAAAATTACAAAACTCAAAATAACTCTTAAACTATATGTTATAT